TTCTTTTGTCCCAGCTGGTTCCCAGCAGAGCTGGGCACTGTGTTCTCAAGCTGGAGAGAAGCATGCAAAGCACATGGATCTGAGGCATTGGGCCCCCGACTAGTGTGTGCCTCCCTCTTCCTGCGGCTCCTGTGTCCCGCCATACTGTCACCGAGCCTCTTTGGACTGGCACCAGAGCACCCAGCACCCAGCCCAGCCCGCACCCTCACACTGATCGCTAAGGTCATCCAGAACCTTGCCAACCGTGCCCCGTAGGTGCTGGGAGCCCTGGGGGTCATGCTGGGGCTGGGGCTGGGGCTGGGAGTAAAAGATGCTTGTTCTGACCTGTCTAGTTGGGCCCTGACTCAGGTTTGGTGAGAAGGAGGCCTACATGGGCTTCATGAATGCCTTTCTGGAGGATCATGGACCTGCCATGCAACGCTTCCTGGACCAAGTAGCCATGGTGGATATAGATGCAGCACCCAGTGGTTACCAGGGCAGCACTGACCTGGCCCTCCAGCTGGCGGTCCTGCATGCCCAGCTCTGTACAATATTTGCTGAGCTTAACCAGGTGTGGCCTGAGCCCAGAGTGTGGGACACAGAGTAGGGAGGCAAGAGGGCAAGGAGCCTCTGGTCCCAGAGAAGTTTCAGCATCCTCCCTGCATGCCTTGCCAGGCAACCCGTGATAGCCTGGAACCATTGCCAACCATCCTACAAGCCATTGAGGAGGGACAGCCTGTACCTGTATCTGTGCCAATGTGCCTTCCCCAGGTCCACTCCAGGTAAATACGTCTCAAGTCCGGTCCAGTTCTAATGGGTGGGAGCAGCGGCGGGGCCTAAAGCAAGCACTGGGTCAATCAATAGTGAGAGGCAAAGACAGGATTGTGTCACAAGTCAAGGAGGAAATCACATCAGAAACAGTGTGGGATAAAGATCAAATATTGGAGATAGGGTCATCTAAGAGATCAGGAAGAGGCTTACAGTGTGGTCAGAGAGGAGGCAGTGGGTTGGACTGGAGTCCAAGGTGGGGATTAGGCATTACAGCAGTCTGGTATAGGTCACATCTGGAGTTAGAGAGAAATAGTGGCATTGTGGTCAGCAGTGAGGGGCAGGTTTCCGTGGGAGATTGTGGATGGGGTCAAACAGGGATCTGAACAGAATCAGATGTTAAGATGCTGTCATACTTGAGGTCAGAAGTCTGGGGTCATGGTTTATTTATTAGGGGCCAGAAACAGGGTCAGTTTCAGGCCAGTCTGGCAACAAGAGGGGTCATGTTGGAAGGAATAGGGTATAGCCTTGTGAACAAAGTGAAGCCCAGGGTCAGATCACAATCAGATGTCACAACGAGGGTCAGGTCAAGAGTCACATTCTGTCAGAGGTCAGGGACAAGGCTAAGAAGTCAAAGGTTAAATTCAGGTCATATCAAGAGTCATAGAGAGAATGGTATTCTCAGAAGTTCAGTATAGAGTCAGAGATCCAAGATTTGTCCCCGTAAGTCACAGGGTAGAAGTAGAAGATTAGGGGTGAGGCTATTTCTGGTCAGAGGTAAGGATAGGGTTTGCTCAGGAACCATCCGGGGGCCTGAGCTTGCACATATTACCCCCAGCTTGTCTGCTGGAGAGAAGCCCCACTTCCTGCTCCCCCGGGACCTGCCCAAGCATACTCCACTCATCTCCAAGAGCCAGTCCCTGCGCAGCATTCAGGGCACTGGGAGTTGGGCCCGGCCCCAACCCGAGGATGAGCAGCCTCCAAGGCTGCCCCAGCGGGTGCAGCGCACACAGAGCGTCCCGGCTGGCCGCCCCTCTCGCCACTGCCCTTCTACCGGACCCTCGCCGCGACCCAAAAGCTCCTTACGCAAGGGTCCCACAGCCCGTGGCAGACCCTGGACCGGGACCACATCTTCACTGCCTCGGAAGCCCTCCGTGCCCTGGCAGCGCCAGCTGGACCTGCCTCGAGAAACAGACCGGACGGTGGGCACGCACCGACCGGTTGGCAAGGTGAGATCTAACCAGATCTGTCCACAGAAGGTAGAGGCAGGATTGAAAAAAGACTGAAGACCAATCAGGTTCAGTCACTGAGTTCACTCCGTCTGTGATCCGGGACTAGCCCAACCCTCTCTTTCTTCCTCTATACAAAGAAAATATGAGAGCCAGGGCAATAACGAGTGAACTTAGAAGTGACTAGGTGGTCAGGGTCTTCCAAAAAAGGGTTATGACAACGAGCCAAGTTACAGCTGCTCCCTTCCCACAGCTGGCAGAGTTGCAGTGCGAGGTGGCCGCTCTTCGTGAGGAGCAGAAGACCCTGTCCGGAATTTTGGAGTCACTGAGCACCCACATCCGGACCTTGATAGAACAGCAGAAGCAGTTTCAAGGCCACCTGCAGGACTTGGACTCCAGGCTCCGTGAAGGGTGAGCGCCACCTGCTGCATTAGTTCTGACTCATGAGGGCCCAAGATAGTCAGACTGACCCTGCCCCAGTTTCATTTAGGTCTTACCTTTCTGTCTGTCCCACCCAAGCCACACCTAGAATGGCCACGCCCCTCTTCTAGCCCCTCCTCCAAACCCCGTTCTAGTACCCGCCACCAGCCCCCAGGTTTGCTAGCCCCTAGGTCCAGGTACTTATTCTGTACTTTTGTCCGGACCCCTCTCCTCAAATGAGCCACTCCCAAACAGGTTGGGCCTGGCTGATATCTCAGTCTGGGCACGTTCTCATCCTAGTTAGATCCTCTCCTCCCCAGCCTTCCAGGCTCTAAATTCAGTCGTGCCTTCAAGTTTATGTAGGCCCCGCCCACCAGCCTGGATAAACCCGCCTTTACTCCAAGCCCCACCCCCCGAATTCCTGACTGTCCGACCTGGAGCTGGACGGGAATTTGTCAGCCTCTTACCCGCCTTGCCTGCCCCTTTATCCCTACAGGACCTCGCAGTTGTATGCAGAACGCTACCCTCCAAGCAGTGATGTCCACAGGCTGAAAATTCTGGTGAGATCCCTCCCTGCCTGACCTATGACAGGTCTGAGTATTTGGGGAAGAGAGAATTTGTGCGCATCCCTTCTCTGACCTCGAGGTCACTGCCCCTGCCTCCCTAGGAGCGCCGCCTGATTGAGATGGAAAATGCTCAGACCCAGCTGAAGGATGTTGTCCAGAGCCTGCAGTCTCGTCTAAGGACCCCAGAGTCGTCCTGGACCCAGCCCACGCCCCTCAAATCACCCTGCCTCAACGGAGACACCACATGAGCTGCCCTCTCATTCCTCTCCACATGGTCTGGGTGCAAGAGAAAATAGCTTGGGGGTAGGGGGCATGTTTCACTTTGTCCTCAGCCCTCAAGTGACCTCAATGGAGAGTAGAGTTGTTGGTGCCAGCTAGGTTGCCCAGTAAAATCTTGGTTACAGTAAGAACAACATGTGTTTTTTCCCCCTAAGTGTTACCAATCAAAAAAAAATCTTCCCTGTCCATTCTGCTCCCCTAATTAGAAGTCTCATGAAGGGAACAATGTAAGAGGAGTGTCAATAGCCTTCACTTTCTGAGCTTCAACTTCCTTCATCTATAATGAGGATCTAAAGTTCTTTACACAGTAGAAGACCCATAGCTTAGTGTTCCATAAAAACTATGTGTAGTTAACGGTAGCACTGACTTCTCAAACGAAGCCAAAAATTCCACCTCCACTAATCCCCAGACCCCAGATGAAAGTACTTTCCTAGGTCCCTCAAATCCCACACCATTTCAAGGACATAGATCTGAGGGACAGATGAAGGAATGATTGGGTAGGTATAGAAATGGTTGGGCAAATGAGTGGGCATTTGAACCATGGGTGGGTGGATAGGTGAGGAGTAGTGTGGATAGGATAATAGGCAGATGATTGTGTCAGCATTTGCTGAATATTTGTCCAGTTAAGTGGGTAATTAAGTAGGTGGTTAGTTGGTATAGGCATTTCTGCCTCGAAGAGGCCTGGATTGTACTAGGAAATATTTGAATTGAGCACATGGCTATGGCTACATATTTACATATTTATCTAGAGATTCTTCAGTGGTATAGTGGGGAAACAATAAACTTATCAGACATCGCTGCTGTCCTCAGAGCTTACACTGTAGTGAGGGAGATAAGTCAAAATGCAATTGATGAATGTTTGGGTGGCTGGGGAAAAGGTGTGTAGAGATGTGTAGGCACTTAGTTTGTCGCATAGGTATGTATTTGCTTGGGTGGTGGATGGACAGCCAGGTAGATAGAATATGAATAGATGAGTGTGTGTTTGGGTGGATGAGTAGTTAAATGGGTAACTACCTATTAGGTGGTTAGTTAATTGAGAGACTGTGTGCATGCATAGTTGGTTGAACATGTGGATGGGTGATGGGGCTGTGCTGTGATCCTGGGGATTGGGTGGACAAGGGAACTAGATCAACTCTAAAGCTATGAGTTTCTTAAGTCCAATATGGATAACAGGGAAGAAAGGAGTGACTTCGTGGTTGGACAGTAGCTGATGGCAGGACACTGAAGGTTAAGGACTGCCAGAGTGAAATCCAGGAAGACCTATGAATGATCCATGGGGGAATGTTTCTGCCTCCCCCCGCAGCCCCCGGGCCCCAACTCTTCAGGTGCAATTAGCAAGAGGGCTATTTAACATTGTGGGGTGATGAGGAACCCATTAGAGGGGGCGGTAGGAGGACATGAGTGTTGTCATAGTAACAGTCTCTCCTTGGACGCTTTGGCCGCACGGCTCCTTTAAGGTGACCTGCCAGGCCACTCCCAACATGGCGGCGCGCCCACTGGCAGCCCTCCCATCCCTTCGGCCCCCCCAGTGCGGCAAGCTGGTAGAGGGGGGTAGAAAGAAGAGTGTGGGTGGGGGGGGGGTAGAGAGAATGGCCCGGACCTCCCCATCATGGCGGTGCGGCGGGGCTGTCGCGCTGAGGTCACGGCGGCGCGCCGGGGGGGCGGGGCAGCGGGGGGAGCAATTTAAAGGGACAATGTCCCCCGAGCTGTGGAGGCGGCGGTGGCTGTGGAGGCCGCGGCACCGGCACCGGGAGCAACGGCGGCGGTAGCAGCAGCGACGGCCGTACCAAGGAAGGGAGCTCCGTGCCCCGGCGCCCGGCCGGTGGTACCGCTTCCCCGGTGAGGCTCGGCCCGGCCTGAGGAGCTCGCGGGCGGGGCGGAGCCGGCTCTGGGAGGGGGAGGC